CAAAAGAAGGGAAAAGAGAAAGAAAGCCATTATAGGACTCAGCACTACAATGTGGGAATCCATCAACCACCATGCTGTCTTCTGTGACTTCTGTTTTTAACTTTTTCTCAGGATTTTAGTTGTCAAATCAATAGTTGGTAACTTTTTTTGTACTGCTGGACGATTCCCTTTGGTTCCCCCCCCCATGAGTTTTAATTGCCAAATTAAAATTGGGTTAGAGCATATTTTTACTACCTTTCAAATTGCTTTAATTTTTTTGAGAGGTTTTGGCCATAGGGCATGTGTGCTTACCAGAAAGACATTCAAAGTGAGAAATCGCACCACCACCACCCCGGGAAAGACCACAAGGCGCAATCTCCTCTCCATTCTCTCTGGATCTTGCGCCTATGTCCCCAGCGTGAGTTTAAAGCCACTGGGTCTGGGACTCGAACCAGGGTCAATTAAGTGGGAGTCCAGTGACATAGTCATTACTGCCAACTGCTAGTTCCAAGAATTTTTTTTTTTAATTTGTTACAGGACATTGTGTACTCACCAGAGGGGGTGGGGGATGCAGTGGGTTGGGGTGTGTAAAAGCTAAACCTTTAGGTCTGTGATATGGGTGGGCTGTGAGAGTCTAGCACTTTTAACTGCCGTCCAACCTTCTGGACCTTGGAACATATTTTTAAATGATCCTTCTTAGAGTGTTGAATTGATGTGTAAGTATATGCTGAGGTCTTTTTTTTTTTTTTTTTTTTAAGGGGCATGTGTACAGTTAGAGGGAGAGAACATCCTCCCATCCTAATTGGGGTGTGCACATGTCACAGCCCATTCTCTTCACTTAATCCTGGTCAAGATTTTGGGTGGACCTAGCAGTTTTCTGAGCTGCTAGAGTTAGGAGTTGGAACACATGGTCAGGCTAGTGGGGCCTGACTTAACCAGTATGCTGTGAGGTGACCTGGTCCCTTGTTTTAAGGATTTACTATCTGGAGTATCGTTGAGGTGCTTTGAGAAGGGATCAATGACAATTTTGTTTTTGCTAACCCTTACGTAGGTCCTACTTTGTCACAGCTTTTCCCTTTTTGGATTGCAGAAGTTCATAATACAGTAAACATCATTTACCATCCTGGTGCATGATCTTGTCAAGCATAACAGGCAAAAATTATTCCCAAATGGGCCAGCAGGTGGTGTAGCCCACCATGGTTCGAGTTCTGGAACCAGCAGCATATGTGCACACCCAGGATCCTAGGAAGAGAAGGGATTGCTGTGTGGACACGTCCCTTGGGGGGTGATATCTCACTTTCCCTCATTGTCTAGCAAGCACAAGCACCTTATAGCAAAAAACTAAAGATTCCCAAACTAACGAGATAACCAGTAGCCATTACGCTAACTGCTGGTCCCCCAGCAAGTGAGAAATTTTAAGACAGTTATACTTGGCTTCCTCTGGTTTATCTAGTAATCCTGAGATGGAGAATTTCACTTGATTCTCAGTACAGAATTGAGTTTCTTAGAAAAGTAGTCTGTGAGTGACATGCTTATTTCCCATCTAAAAGCCTTGATTCATGTTATTGGGTACCTTAATGTACATATCACATTCACATTTCCTCTAGAGCATTTTTTAGTGTGTGTCTTTGCCAGAGGGTGCGCACTGACAAATGTGAGAAAGGGAAAGCAGGAGCACTCCCCATAGGGTGCAATCACTATAGTCCTCCATCTCTGGGCATTTGTGCTCTGTCATTCAAGCCACCTGCATCTGGGACTTGAAACACCCAGTTGGCCATGTGGGGTCTTATAGCCTCAACCACGATACCATGGGCTTGCCCCTCTTGTGTAATGTTTTGCTGACAAAGCCCCAAAACGTCAACTTTGTAGAAGTTAAATGATTTATTGTAATACCTTTGGGGCAAGAAGGAGATTTGCTATTTGTATTGATTTGGAAGAAGAAATTGAGTATAAAAACATTGTATGAGTTTTTTTTTCCCCTTTTAGTTTTGCTATTTGTGTGTGTTCCATGGAGAGGCAGAGGGTGGGAAAGCATCACTCGGGTAGATGACTACAGTTTCCTGGCATGTCCATCTTAGTCTTCTGGCTGAGACTACCACCAAGCTTTGCTTTGATAGGATCAGCATGTGATCCTTCTGCCTCAGCCTCCTGGTGTCACTAGAATTAGAGGTGCCTTTCGGTTGGACCAAAAATTGGTCCCTGGCTCTCCATGTGATTTCAGCCTGAGTAGCATGGCTCTTTTTAATGGTGTGTACAACTGTGACTACCCCTCAACATATAGTTTCTAAAACATAAGTTCAAGCACTTGATAATTCCTTAAATTCTATTTCAGCTGGCTGTCTGCCATGAGAGTTTTATCATGAGTGAATTTTTTAGATACATTAAATTTTTTTGGAGAAATTTTGCCTATTTAAGCCTGCACTCACCAGAGAGGGCGAGAACTCACCCCTTGAGGGCAGGAGATTGCCACGCCACTATTCCTTCTGTACTATTGGGATTCCTGGCATGCATACACACACACC